TTTTTTTTCTTTTTGCACAGAAAAATTTCGTGGGAAAATGAAAGAAATCCAATGCTAAGCAATGGGCTTTTTCTTGGATTAATCCCAACTTTGCCTCAGCCCACCTGGAAGGTCTTTTCTGACCTTCAGAAAACTTAAAACAACACAGCATACAAAAATAATCTGATTTCAGCCGAATTTTTGTCATTTTTGGTGATATTTTTATATTTGGGGATTTTGCATTTTTGGGGATTTTAGTAAATGGGGATTTTTATTTCGGGGCAATTAGACACCGGGGGGAATAAACGTTGGGGATTTTAGGATGGGGGATTTTAGAGCAGGGGGAATAGAGGCGGGGGAATTAGAATCGGGGGAATTGTCCGTTTCCCCTCCTGAAGTGCGTCCTGGGACCTCTTCTCCCGGGTCCCGTGCCGTCCCTTTTCGTTGGGAATTATTATCCGCCATCATCAGGAGCAATACGTACTCTCTTCACTCGTGTGCCACGCGTTCTCGAATAAGACGCGCATCTTGGGATATTTTTTTTAGCACACATTCAGGAATAAATTCTATCCCCGCATATTACCCGCATTTTTGTTTTCAGTTCCCAAAATTAAAGGGGTATAAATCTGAAGGCAAACCCACTTCAAAGTTTAATTCAATGCTGATTATGATGCAAAAAATAGAATCCTAAGAAAACGAACTTGCAAAATTTAGAGTGTGGAAAAAGTTGGAGTGGTAAAAATTTACTAGGAAATTTGTGCCGAACCAAGACGAGCACCTCACTTTGTGTCCGTTGAACAAAAAAAAAAAGATGCGCTGTAGCATACTCGAGTAAATGCAATATAATACATATTCGTCCCTTTCGTAGCGTAAGTGCGCTTTCAGCTCAAAAATTTTGTTTCTTTCAGTTGCTGAGAAGTCGACCTTGAGTCCATCTGATCCCGATGAACAAGTCTTTCTTGACACGCAGGAAAATATACCTGTTTCGTACAGACTCAGTCGAGCGGATTACCGGAATCATAGTCACACTCGCCGCGGCATTGTGTTCAGTGGTGGAGTGCCCGTTGAGGCTATTGATGATGATGTTACGACGTCGCCAAGACGTGAGTGTGTTTTTTGTTGTTTTGTTACGATTCAGTGGTGTCTCGGTTAACGAACTCAATCCGTTTCGGCCAGAAATTGAAAGTGAAAGTTTGTTATCTATAGTTTGGAATGGCGAATAATCGGTTCGAGACCCGATGGGATACGTGCTGAAGGAGTTTAGGTAATGGGATGACTATCGTATTTATCCAAGTTCCACGCACGCTTACAGTAAGAAACGCAACCAGATTTTTCCGCCTAAAATTTCGATGAAATCTAATCCCTGAGTAAGACTCGCACGCCATTTTTAGTGAGCATAAAACTGCAGTATTTCTAAAACGAAGACAAACCAGAATTTTAATTTGGGCATGGATATAATATGCAGTTCATTGTTTTTTAATTGTCGAATTGAACATGTCTGTTAACATAGATCCACAATTTCCCGTTGGAAATTGAGTATAACACGCACCGAAACCTGTAGAAAATTTTTGCAAAATGTTTACCCGACTGTATATGACGTGCTACCTAATTTTTTCCTCTCGATTTTTGGAAATACATTTTATAGTGGTATGCGAGTAAATACGGTAGTTCTTTCCAGGTTAAAAAAAAAATACAGTACTGTATTTATCGAATATTATTGACAACGCTGATCGCGATTGCTTATTTTTTCGTGTGAGGGTTTCCAACTGAGTGCCTCTCCCAGTCAAAATGGGCGCCTTTTACCGGATGTATTGATATTGCAATATTTTTTTCACTATTTATTGCGCGAGGTTTGGTTGTGTAAGGTCTACGTAATATTGCTTTTTTATTCATGCTGGTTATTGTATTTTCAAATGTGATAGTGTACTTCGTTATTGAATGATATTTCGCTCGTCCTGTAATATCTTGTTATTCTTGCCTGTGCTATGTATAGAACCGTCGAAACGCCTGCATCAGTGTATGTTTTGCAATTCGACGCGTGACTGCGACGCTGGCGGAATCGCGGAAGGTGTGTGTCGAGAACCCGATGCCTTCAGTTGCATCACTCTTTTCTTGGACAGGAAAGCGTTTAATCGGGTTCAGGCATCAATGAACTGGGGAAGGCGGATTATTGAAAAGTCGGATGATGATGACGAACACTCTCGGGAACCCTGTAAGCTGCTTTTTCATATCTTTTTTAGTGTACAGTGCGAAGTCAGCGTATTCCTTCAAGTGGTTCATGTAAGACTTCAAAATTGTTGGTCTGAAATCGCGAACCCCCTTGCCGCTGTCCATTCTGCACACTTGAGCATTCACTAGTTCCCAACATGTTGTCCTCAACGCCCTGTAAAAAGACAGAATTGGAAGCTCCCATTATAACATATTTACTGGTTTCCAATGCATTATACAATGCATTGCATAAAATTGGTCCAAGATTAAATTATTAAAATTTTCCCAGGCATTATTCCCAATATATATTTTGTAAACATTATGTATCACGGCCGTTTCTTTCTCATTTGGCCACTGGTTTCAGAGGTCAATTACTTGAAGTATTTCCCAGCTTCTGTGAATACTGAGCAGTATAAAAAATTTAATTAATTACATTAAAAGGATTTGAACTCGATATTTTGCAACTGGGAGAAGTCTTACTTTTTGTGGGCATGGAATTGTACGTGAAAAAAAGGGTTACATTGTTTAAAAGTATTATACAGTACGATATTCGTTATTCATACGACGTCACAAGAAGCAAGTTAGTACAATACAGTATACTGTAATGTCATACAGTATTAATCTCAAGTCAGAGTTGACATCTTGAGTTTTGATCCGTTCTTGTTCATCTTTGGCTGTTCATTTATATTTTTTTGAAAAATCAGTCTAAACATGGTCTACTCTGGAACCAGAAAAAACTCCACATCAGGGCGAATGAACGAGCCTTTGGAAATAAGACGTGTTCTCTTCATAGATGTGTCAATGCCTACCAACATCGTGGGGAAGCATTGTCATTCGAGACAAGTAACTGGTCCTGTTTGTGGCCCCTTCTCCGAGAGAAGTTTCCCACTGGCGAGTTTTGCTTGTTGGTGCCCATTCGATCGATGCAACAGAGAAACATGTCTGATTCAGGACGTGTGTAACAAGTTGGGCGACCCGGACGGGGCTGTTGCTGGTTGCAAGCCTGTCGGCCTTTTGATTATTGTGACGACCTGCGGGATGACCATGATTTTCTTTAGAATTTCTCTCATTTTCTCCATAGTGTAACCTTACTTGTTTTGTTGAACTTTCATGAAAGAAATTCCCTGGGTGACTGGTACTTCGGGTTCTTTTTTATTTTTTCCAGTTTTCCCCCAATTATTTCCCCATTTTGGTTGGAGTGATGTTATAATAGGGCGTCTTTACTCCTCGTGAGTAGTAAGAGGCATTTTCTAAACTATGAATATTTACTCTGCGCATACCATGTTCCACGTCTACTTCATCTGGATGGGATTGCATACCGATGATGGCATAACCCACCTCCTGGCTTCTAAATCCCCCTAATCCCTGGCTCCTGTTTATTTCATTGTTCGTTAAGAGAATTTGGTTAGGTACTTAGTAACATCTTCAGGCTAACGGTTCCCTGGCCTGGGGGGTTGTTTATTTCATTGTTTGTTCATGCTGGTTGACCCTCTTCAACCCATTGTCTTCACTTGGGTAGGGTCAGTTTTGTTCCAATATTGTACAGAATGTAAGGTAAAATTGAAATGGAAGAATCCCCATGGTCTGAAAATCCTATTCAGACCATGGGGTTTTTTTCCCTACAACAAAATCCCCGGAGTCCAATACTCCCCGGATCAGATTTTGTTTGCAATTGCATGGGTGAACATTCAACTGTCAACTTATTTGGTTTATGCAAATTTGAATCATCCGCATTGCCAAATAAATAGGATACACAGAAACGGATGCAGTAAATGTTCCTAAAATATTATTTAAAAGGAACATTTTTTTGAGTTGGGGTGGGGCAAGGCATGTGTGCCAATGAAAAATACAGCATACAGTACATGGAAAATACAATGCACATAAAAATACGATGAAAAAATACAATACACTTTCAAAATATAATATTATTTTAAAAATATTAACCACAAAGAAACACACAAACTTTCACAGAATTAATATGAACAATCAAAGGAATTATGAACTATAGAAAATGAAATGGAAAACTGATGCAATGGATGCCAAAAATCAATTGAAATACAGAGAAGAACCAGGATTGGGAACCTGAGCAGCAATTGATTCAAGAAATGCCTGAGAAGTACTGGAATGAAATTCCTGACAAAGATTCAAAATTTGCTGGTTCAATCCCCTGTAAACCTCATTGGCACAGGGTATGTCTTGGCCAAGAATTCAATCTTCAAGGTCTGTGCTGGCACTGGTAGCTTTGTGTTTCAGGATTGTGCAGAATTTCCAGAAACAAAGCTTGGACTGACAGAATTTTTCCTGCTGAGAGTGAAATGCCATGCCTCTACATGGTTATTTGTCCTTATTGAGACACCATGCCAGTCCCACAGATGAAGATATGTGTTTTGCATCCATGTTGGAATAAAATATGCATTCAAAATACAGAAAATCAGGGGGTTACTGGCAGAAAAGCCCAGCTGTGCCTGAACCAGACATCATGCTTCAAGTGGATGGCACAAATCCCAATGGAAGAAGGCATCTCACTCATAACCAAAACTGGTCATCCTGCATATATGCTCTTGCATACCCCAGCTCCTTCACATGATGATGAACACACTTTGAGTAATGGAAGTAGCAACCCATTACTACTATTATTATTGTGAGGCCAGTCTTTGCATGGTCCTTCATGGTGTCAGGAATATATATCCTTGACAAATAAAGATTTTGAAATGTGAGGTTTAGAGTTTGAAAATGAGTTTGATCAAGGAATTAAACACAAGAATTCAGTTGGGCTATGACTGGGGTGAAATTGCCCTATTAGTCAAGTTGATATAATTTGAATTTCACACAAGTATATGAGCAATATGATTGATTCTTGCAAGAGTCCATTGAAACACCACATGCAAATGCTTGGATTGGACTGTGTCAATTTCACTGATTTTGGAAACCACAAAGACTGTCCTACAAGGACAAATACATCAGCAGTAAAAGGTCCAGCCTTGAAGGCTTCAAAATATCCGTGAGAACTGAGGTCTTCCAAGGTTCTCACAAAGATTGAAAATGAAAGAGTAATGCTATTGAAAATTTGGGTTCTCTAAATCTGGCGTGTCTTAATTAGTATGGCCGTTAAAATATTTGCAACACATGGCTCCTAATAGCAGTTGGAACATGCTTGCATGTATGTTAGCTCTTCTTTATTTTGAAGGAGAGCAAATGCAACAGGAAAAAACTGTCCCATGATGAGGCAGTGCACACTCACAAGCTGCAGGAAGAGCACTGGAGCTACCCAGAAGCTGGTTCCACCCACAAAAAATTTACATGTTCTTGTCAATGCTTGTAATCCTTCTAGGGTGTCAAACACAACAACTTGTTGGGGTTCATTAGGGCCAGTATCTCCAATGAGAAATGACTGACCATTTCTCATCAACAGCTCATTGTTGATCATGTTGAAGTCTATGTGGCGTATCAGCCAGAAAAAACATGAAAAGATTGAAATATGCAATTAATAGATGGATAACCAAATAAAACACAAACACCGCCAGGGTACATGGCAGGGAGTTCTTTGGTAAGAATCTCCAAAAGCAAAAGATGAATAATATATTTAAAATTTCACACAACAGCAAATAATAACAGATGATTTTGCTACGCAATGCAAAACGGGACTGTGTAGAATTAGTAGTTGCAAACATGGATGTCGCTGGAATTCCAGCATGGAATTTCAGTGTGTTGAGCATGAAGGGAGGGCTAGTGCCCTCTGTCCCTAACATAAACCCCCCTGGAGCTGCGACACCTGGGTGCTTCCTGGGTGACGCGGCTCCAACGATGGAAGGAACAGGGGCGCCAACGGTTGGTCTTTGCTGGTCCATTGATGCTAAGAGGATTACGGATTTACTTCAAAAAATTTTTAAGATTATCATGGAAGCAAGTTTTGAATCATAAGCTGAATCAGAAATGGTTCCAGAAAATTCTCGATTTTGCTAGAGATTATGAGGGAGGCTGAGAAAGTGAAAGAAGTGTTCCCAGTTAACCATTCTGAGTTGAATAGTTCAAGTTGGAGCGGGAAGATGCAAAATTGCGGAGAAGAGCAAAAGTGGTTTTTATTTATGAATTAATTTAGAAGGAAAGTGCGATTTTGAGATTTCAAAGCAATAAGAGCAAGTAACGTTTTCATGCAATCAGTTTGTGAGATGGTGAATTCATGCAATCGATTTGTGGGATGGTGAATTCATGGTACTGAATAAATGTTATCCATGTCAATTTCATGGTTTCAATTGATTTTCAATGCTTGGTTTGATTCTGAAAGAGCAGATAGTGGAAGAAATCTTGTGAAATGAAAGTATTGAGGTCAATTTTGCAAGTTCTCCATCATTGATTGTGAATGGCTTTTGGTTGAGTGCATCTTGTGGTATTCTCTGGACATTGGGAATTGTGTGGTGGTGGCTCACAGGGGTCCATCTTTGAATCAGAAGTCAGTGGAGAAGGTCTCTGCCTTCTCAGCGTGTCAAGCATGAAGGGAGGGCTAGCGCCCTCTGTCCCTAACAGTCTATGTTGGCCAGGGCTGTTGGAGGGATTGGGAAAGAAGCAGCTCTCTCATTCATGTGGATGAATGAGAGAATGCCTGAATGAATAAGTCATGAGAATGGATGCGGAAAGTTACATATTTATCCTACTAAAAACCAACTTGCATTAGAATCTCAGGGGGTACTCAAATTCTGATTTGTAAATTTGTGAGGCCTGCAGTTTTTTCAAAGTCTACCTGTTCTACAGTAATGCAAATATTTGAACTATTTTCCAGATTTTCCTTTGACTATAAATTATAAGTTCAAGTTTAAATTCATTCATTTTGGACTCACTTCTTCCCTGCTGTCAACGATTCTGAGATCCTGACAAAGAAAATTCAAAATGAAAAAAAAACGTAATGCACAATAGGCTCTTTGCAGTGAAGACTAAGTCTCCAGGAATTGTTTTTACTTTTCACGCAAATGATAACATATGGTTTTCACTTTCAGATTTTGAAGTTCACAACACAGAAATGTCTGCAGAAATAGCTTGAGACAAAGTGAAGTCTTTGGTGCTGCTCAATTTTGAAGTTGAGTGGAATCCAGTTTTAGCAGGCAGGTTTTTTTATGGTTAGTAAGATTTGAGTTAGTGTGTTCTGTTTTATTTTTGTTTGTGGCGTGTCATGTGTTTTATAGATTTGGAAAACCTCTGGGGGTCCCTTATAAAACCCCCCTAATGGCAATGTAAGCAAGCCAACAGTTGGGGACCAGTCTGGTTGCCATGACAGGAGCTGGTTTCTGATCATTCTAGTTTTCAGTGTCAGTGAAAGTGGTTGGTGTGGTGAGTGCAAGAAGTGAAAGTTGACAGGATTTGATGTAAGGAAATTTTGGAGGATTTGTAGGTGGATTTTTGTGAAAGTGAAAGTTGGTAAGTGTAGAATTTGCATTTGGAGTCGAAGTCCATTTTGGTGGTTGGGTGTGTTTTTGGAAATGGTTGTATTTTGAGTTTTGAAAGTTGTAGTCATGTGGAGGCCAGTGCCAAGGTTGTTTGTAAATTTTGCTATGGTTGGATGGTAATTTTTGAATTCCAGTTCAAGTTGGCAGTTTGAAGATCTGTGAAAAGCAACCTTGTAATGGAGGTGCTAGCAACCCTGTGATGGGGTGGTGAATTTGGAGTAGATTGCAACCCTGTAATGGGGGTGCTTTTGAATAGTTAGCAACCCTGTAATAGGGTTGCTTTGTAGTTTTTAGAGCAACCTTATAATGGAGGTGCTCAAGTTTTTGGATAGATAGCAACCCTGTAATGGGGGTGCTTGAGTTAATGTGAATTAGTAGCAACCCTGTAATGGGGGTGCTTGGTTTCAAAGCAGCAGTAATTAGTAATTGCGTCAGTAGTATTGACAGTAGTAATTGTAGATTGTGATGATGTGGTCAGCAGTAATTGATGAGTGATTGTTTAGTCAGTGATTGATGTAATTCAGCAGTAATTGTTGAGTAATTTTTTTCAAATTCAGAGGCCAATGAATAATTTGTGATTCAGCAGGTTTTTTTGGAGCAGCAGTAATTGTTGGTATGTTGTCTCTGTCTTCAGGTTTGTCTGAAAAGCAAAAAATGGGTTGAAATGAGTGATTGGCAGGATTCAATTGATCTAGGTATG